AGACTGAGCAGAGCGGTTGATTTCCTTGCATCATGTCACCTCCATATCCGTCTCGTGTAAGAGTTCTTGCATCATTTGCGCATTTAAATTTCCCGGAGGAAGTTTCTGCAGAAGCGCATTGATCACATCTGATCGATCGTTGAACACTTCCTTTGCCTAAAATTTTGCATCGCTGGTGGAAAATCAACACTCACAAACCGACACTGTAAAAGTAACCTACCGTCTCCGTATGAGAACTAAAGAATTTCATGCAGCAGGCTATCAATTTCTCACCAAAATAAGCAGCTGCTTCCGAGTTAGAGATCGTCTGGAAAACGAAAATGACCAAAATACAGGAAATCTCCTTTGTTCGCTTAAGTTTAACCAAGAACCATTCGAAAGAAGAAGAATTCTGAAAAACCTCATAAAATGATAGAAATGCGTGAACAGCATCTCCAAGCACGTAACGATAGGACGTTTCACGCATTGACGGCAACAGCTTCTGAGTGGCATCAAGCACGAAAGAAACGAATGGCATCACTTCCTAAAATGAACAAAGGTAAATGAGCTCGGCGTGGCTTCAAGTGCCTCTGTATGAAAAGCAATTCGAAAAACGCAAAAGTGATGAGATTTTGTTTATTGGTAAGAGGATAAACCCAAATATAGCCTTCGAAAGTTGACAGTTGCAGACATACTATCATTTGGACCGCTTCCCCACCGCTCACAATCCCTTCCCACTCATTTCGTGAGATACCCCCCTCACACAGACGGAGACGGTTGACCCTTGTACACAACCACAGAAATAGTGAAACTTTTGCAACACAAAGTGCTAGCAGGTTACGACTTGCATCAGTTAGGAAATTTTCCACAGGAATACCAATGTGAGGTCAAAAAGCCTCTGAAACATCTTTTGAACCGACAATTGCGATATTTCATGAAGCCGCCTGAGGTCAGGTAAACTCCCCCAGGCGGCTTCACGAGATAAAGCAACTGTCGGTCCAAAAGATCCCTTCAAAGGTTTAAAAGTTCCACACAGGTAGGATTTGTCGTCTTCAGGCTATCGTTATTGCGAATACTACTCAATAATATTCCGAGTAGCCTGATAATTCAAATTGTGCTTTCTGTATTGTTCTGATGATCTATACTTTAATTTTATTTGTTGGCATACAGTCAGATTTAGCATTTCGGGTTCTGGACAAGAATCGCATCTTCAACGTGAACGCGATATTATTAAGTATTGAACCGCCAAAAACTCTTTTGATAGGTAGATGACAATTTGCTAGTTACTATGCAGTAACAATTTCCGTTAATCTTTACTGGGAATCTTTTTTACTTCAAGGATATGCCGATAATGGCGTCTTTTGGCTTTATCGGCTCGTGTCGAAACCACAGAATAGTCGCATATACGCATTATGACACACTATGGCCCCTTTTGTAGCACTTAAGGGCGGCAGTATTGCCGGCTTGAGCGAGTAGTCGCACTGAATTAGTCGTGAATTTCTCAAAATCGACTTGACCTTTCCTCTTTAGTCAAAGGCATTTTTTTCACTCGCTTGACCACTCTTACTTGTTGGCCAATTGTCCCTACCCCGAACATTCATATCCTAGCGCGTCTACAGGGAAAAACCTGAAGTCAGTTTGCTTATAAAGCCGTCAGCAACGTTTATGTCACGCAGGAAGACAGAGGAGGTAGAATCCGCGCGGCAAAATATTCCTGTGATGAACCCAGTGAGCGGAACCACGCCCTCGGCCACAGTCTTCGTCATCTTCAGAAACTGGAACCAGCCTCAGTGCCGGAACGAGATCAAGGGAAGCTACCGTAATGCTTCCGCTGCGAGCAGCCCTAAAGTTTTGCGATGGAGCATTGGAGCATTCGGACCGCCGTTGCTCTTAAGGTCTTTTTGGAAGCTATAACATTTCAAAACATGCCGCTACGCTCCACTCGAGTGTGTTACCTTTCCAGTAACAAAGAGGTGCGGTCTTGGGGTTGGCACGAAGTAATTAAAGCAAAGGCCGAGCCTCAAACCACTAAAGTAGCCCTTAGCCCTTACGCGGGCTAGAAGTGCCAGATAACGCAAGTGCAAAGTCCAACCACCTTTCTACATCGAAACGCGTCACTAGGACCCTAGGCGCCATGGACTTCTAACAGACTCCACCAAACTTAACATGGTCCGCCCACCGTTCGATATCTTGTCTGCGTCGCCACGTTGATCTGCTATGCTCTCTTCTCGGACTTCTCTACCGCTCTCCGCGCTCACATTATCTCTCATCTCCCTGCCTGTCTTTTGAACTTCTCAGCTCGTATTTCCTGTGTATTTCAGGATTTTCTTTCCTTTTTTCTCCACTGGCGGTCCACCTCCCATCCCTACTTTCACATTTGAGTGGAATTAACTCATCGTTCAACCCGCTACCCTAGCTATCTTTAACCCTTCGATTACCGATTGTCGTTCGAGTTCAGAAATAAATTAACTCGACTGTGAAGAATTTGGGGATCTCAAGGAGGTCAGAAGTCTCATCATGTTCACCTGCTTGAACCTTCCGATGACGTTCTTATAAGACCCCTGTGCACCCTCCTGATGTTTTGGAACTATTGACTTTTCAAGTGGAACGTTCGAAGAGAATTTAGCAGTGTTGGATAATGCTGAAACATAAGTGAGATTCTCTGTCTCCCCCCCCCTTTTTTTCCCATGTATTGCTCTTTCGGGCAGACAAAAGGATAAATGAAAAAATAGCCAAGTCTTGAGAGGAATCTTGTCATAAGAAACTTAAATGTACCTCCACAAAGGATATTCCATATTAGTTCGTAAAATTCCGGACTCCCTGAATTATGAGTGAAGGAATAAATCCGTTCTCAGGCAGAAAATCGGAGTAGTGACTTGATCCAACTTCGTTCTGTGTTATTTCACGTCACTAACCACAAGACACCTTAGCATCTATCACCACGTAATGGGTTTTATTTGGATGCGGGGCTAGGTTGCTTCGAAAGACCGAAAACGCCGTTCCAGACCACTTTCCACTACCAAGAACCATGTTTCCTTCAGGAAGTACAGGCAATGCGCAACACTGGTTTTTTCGAAAACTTTAGAATTTTGATGGATTTTGAACTATTCAAATTCAGTCACTTTCCCGTAAAATCACCTTTCGCAAAGCGGCCGGCATCCTTGTTAGCAGCGGAATCTGTTGCGCCATGGTGCCGAAATTCCTGAAAGAGCTTTTTTAAACAAAGGCATCTGCCACGACTAGACTTATGGCAGCGCGGTGGCACTCACCTAATCATTACTTTTGGATAAGTCTCCACCAGTTGTGCTAGAGTTCGTACTGCACCCACTACGTCCGATTGAGTGGGATCCACCGCCTGTGCTACCAGCGTTGTCACCAGGCCGTCTGTATCCCGTTGACGCCATCGGAATCCTTGGATACTTGCTTGATTGGCCAATGGATCCACAAATAGACCTAAACCACGTGGGAATTAAACTGCTGCCTTTTCTCGACATCTCAGGAAAACTGACATGGGTACTTGAGTTGTATATCATCGAGCAAACTTTGAGCGTGCTTCCGTTTCTCAATAGGCAAATCCGATCTGGCTAA